AACAACCCTCTAATCAACACTTGTCAGGTGATCAAAACCACAAACAGACACTTATGAATGGTGGAAAATTTATTCCAGGTCATACAGACCAGCAGAAGTGTGTGAGTCACAAATCAAACAAAGCAACCAGGTTTCTGTCTATGTGAACGTGAAGGTTCCCTATTGTTTGCTTCTGGGATTGTAGCAAGGCTCGTCACTGTAAAAGCCAGACAATGGTCAGGTGAGTGAATGGTAGCACACACGCTCACACACACACATGCACACCAGTCCTTTGTCCGATGCCATGCTGTGACCGAGTTTCCTTCACCCACATATTCTTGTCAGACTGTGAATGTGTGGGCGGAGTGCACTTAACTGTATAACAGCATATGAGCGGGGCAACTTTAAGAACCTGAGCAGCAGTGTGTGTATGAGTGAGATAGTAACAACAATTCAGGGACAGTGTGTGGAAGCCACACTCTCAGACCTGGTCTGCGCTTACAGCGATAGCTGGCGCTAATTAAAGCTGTGCTTCTGGTAATTGCCAACAGCCAAAACTTAATTTTAGGTGGTTTGCTGGGGAAAATCTGTATATTCTACACAAACCTCCTCTGCAACCTATAATTTAGCAATCCTAAAAGAAACTGAATATAAAAAACTGCACAATGTTCCTTTATTTAGATGAGCTGCTGGTTTATTTTTTTTTAAAGACAAGGGACTGTAAATCATGAGTCATAAACGTGTTACAAACATGGTTTGATTTTTTGTTATCCCATAAGATCAGTGGTGTTTTTTCCCTGGTGGCTGCTGATATTCGTGCTCCCCGAAAGAAACAATATGTACACCTCTCACTCATAAAACAGCTAAAAACCAAGAGGCAGAGGAAAAAAAAAAGACTACCCTAGTTGCTATTATGTAAACAGCAACATGCGCGGCTTCAATTATAATGACTTTAATTCTTTGTTGCTGTTGATTTAACGTTGAGCACAACAATTTTCATGCTGCCCATAATGACTTAATGGCAACAGCCATTACTGAAAGTAATTTAATGGTGGATGACTCAGATGAGCTCTCCTCTAAAATATTTACAGCATTCCCAAGCTTTCAAGAGTCACACTCATCGCTAACCCCTTCTCAGATAAAAGAGGATTTATGGAGAGCAGTGACACTAGTTGTCACCAGAAAACAAATACTAAAAAACTTAAGTGGGGATGAAAGCCGGTCCTACTCTTAATTCTGATCTTCACAATCATTATGGCGGATACATGCGCAGGTGCAGGACTTTTAGTGTACTGATCCTCGCCTCTGCAGCCCCTGCCGAAATGAGATCTCTCCAGTGTTCCTGCATGATTTTATTGTTTTCATGGTCTGTATTATAAGCACCCACCCACTACCTCCTCCCTTAGAGCAGCTGGATAAAATACACTTGATGGTCTGCCAAGAAGTGTGCTTTATTTCTTCTCTATGCTTGAGTTGCAGGGTTTTATCTTTCTCCAATAACCAGTCCTGTCCATGTACAATGATCTCCCACAGTCTCAGCGGGATGCAAACACAGAGAGGAGACACAGGGCAGCAATTGCCCATGTCAGGGAACAGGAGAGCTGCCACTTCTGCTCTAGTTTCATTGACTTGGATGGTTTGCATGTTACTGGCTCTGCATCCTCCTCTGCTGGTGGGTTACAGTACTCTCATGTCAATGTCTGCTGCTTCCCGCCAGCCACAAAGGATGTGTACTGTTAATATGTGCTCTTTTTTTTTTAACAAAACACAGATTAATAGTAAAAGACTGCAATATCGATTCCACAGAGTTTTAACAGAAACCTTGCATCAAGCAGTGCCCAGTTTAATTAAGTCAATGCTGTGCCGGCAGAGAAAGATGTGACCACACATTTACTGTAACTGGAGGAAATGAAAGAATTAACTTCAATCAAGGAGTTAAATCCTTTAAAGAAGTCAGAAAAAGGACAGACACATGACAACTGGGAAGGTAGGGAAAGTCAGCACTACAGAGGATCTTAATGGTTACTCTGCCTGCTAGTATTTACGCCTTTCCACATCTACAAAGAGGTGGGAATTAACAGAACTGGCGATGTGATATTAGTAGAAAAACTGGAGCGCACTGGAATTTATTTGTTAGTCGTTAGTAGTGTTATGGTTCACACAATGCTCTTAAATAATGTGATATGTCTTTTCAGTTGTCATGTCTTCTTTGGTTATTCAACTGCTAAAAGTCCAAAGCTTTCGACCTCATTTCTGTTTTCCAGATCTTTATTTGATAGGGAGACAATATATGACTTGTTAGCTGTAGCCTTTATGTGAATACAAATATTGATACTTGGTATCAATATAATGACACAACACTGTGAAGTATTACAATAATAGTTTGCACTGATTTTTCTGGTTTATTGACATCTTAAGACCACTGGCACCCTCTACTGACTATTAACAGTAATGTCCTGAGTCAGTTACAAACATTTTACTGACAATTTATGAATGAGTTATTTACAAATACAATGGCTTAAATCAATTTACATTAATTAATTATTTAATGAAGCTACTAATTTCCATATGCCATATGGTAGATTGATTCTAACATACAATACTTTTTAGCAGATTAATATTTTTGTTATCAGAATAATCTGGCGGGGGAGCAAGTAACAATGATTTTCTTTAACTATTTTGTCCAACCAACAGTCCAATACCACAAGTCAGTTTACTATAATAGAGAAGAAAGATAACCAAATAATAATAATTATTATTAATAACCAAATATTAGGATCTGAGAGGCTGAAACCAACCAGGGAACTTTACTTAAAAACTGGTCAAAAACTGTTTTTCTATTGGTCAAGTTGATTGATAAATCGATTATTTGTGCTCTGCCCTCTGGTTTATTCAGCTCCTCTCAATCAGGCTGATTGATGATGTGAAAATGTTTTAAAGTGCTTCATCAAGTTGTAGCCTAGATGAGAAGCTGCACAATAAAAGCTTACTGTAGCACTGTATATCTCTAATGGTAAGCTTGTAGAACACTTACAGAGTAACTGTGGTTGTGTTCTTTCCAAATGTTGACATGGGAGTAAATCAAAGTCAAGAGCTGGTAATCAGTTCTCATTTCTAGCATATTATTAAGTCCGGGACAGGAAGGAAAACAGTGCCAGACAGGTCAAACTGCAAGTATTACACTTGTAAGTTTGAGGGGACATCTTAGCAAGTGTTCTGAAATTGTTTGACCCAGTTATAATCACTGACCCAGTCCTAGTTCCCCAAAACAGGACAACATGCCTGCTGGCATCTTGCTGTTCACTTACCACAGAAATTCTTAAAAATATCATAAATATCTGTCAGGACCCAGAAATCTACAAAATCACTTAGGAATCTCTATGGCTCCTTTAAACAGCCCTTCTACAGAAAAGAAGATGTATAATTATAATTCTCTGAGGTCAGTTTTGTGCTTCTTACTTGTGGTTTAGGCTCACAGTGAGGAAGAGAGGAAGCACATACTAAAGCAGACAGGGTTCCTTATTCCTTATTTCCCTACGGGGATCAATAAAAGATAATTTATATAAACAAATATGGTTAGACTAATAACTTAGGCCAATATCAGGCTCCAATTTGATAAAAATTCGGCCATTTAAAGACATTCATCTTCAAAGTAATAGATGATCCTCACTGAAAACAGGCAGTTTTTCTAAAATATTATCTACATGTCTGACCTGAGAATTTATTCCATTTTGGACAAGTTGGGTTGCCATCAACAGGTTCGGGTCTGTCAGTCTCTACAAGCCTGCAGTTTCTACATTTAGAGCACTGTCTCTTGGTCAAAGAGGCATTTCCAATCTCCAAGAAGTCCACTTGATGAGAAACAGAGACAGCCTGAAAGTGCTATTTTTATTTAAAGGTATATAAAGTATATTTTTAAAAACATTCTATTTGAATATCCACTCTAAAACATGATTAAACAGTAGATTAAACCAAAACTATCTGCACTAGTATCGGCCTTTAAAAAACAATATCAGTCAAAGTCTATAAAAAATGCACGACAGCAGCTCTAGCAAGGAGCACCAAGTTCTGTCATGAACCCAATGACACCACAACCTGCAGTAGCAGCCACGCTCACTAGATGGTGACATCCCACTTTAAACCCTTCTGAAAAACTGATCTGGGCCACTGAGGGAGAGCAGAAAAAAAACTCTCAAATTACATTTGGAGGACCAGAGTTTGGCTTTTAAAAACAGCAGAATGGAGGACACGCACTTCAAAGTTTCCAGTTCAGCTCCACTGGGCAAGGGCACACAAGTGCAACAGTGGACTCCCTGATGACAGATGGACTCAGAGCAGTGAAGACAAGCAGATGTTTTGGGACTGTGATCTGATCAGCAGTAGAGACCCAACACCTCCCCACGCTAAAAACAGAGCAATAACAGTCAGAGCTGGGGGAAAAGCAGAAAGAAAGAGAAATGGAGAAGAAAAGGTGGGGAGTAAAAGGGGGACTGTAAGCAGCGGAGAGACATAAGAAGGAGAACGAGTAAGGAGTAGGAGCATAAGAGAAAGTGAGAGTTAGCGACACAGTGGGGAGTAGGAGAGCGGGGAGAAAGGAAAGTAAAAGAACTCAGAGAGGGGGAGGGAGAGTTTTTTTATCCTCATGTGCACTCAGTCAGAGGGGTCAGTGAGTGCGATTGTTCCTGGACTGCCTGTCAAAACAGTGCGGCTACCACAGTGCCTATTCATCTCCGCCCCGCTCTGAAATGCACGCGCGCACAAACCCATAGTAACACACTCACGTACGCATGAGCAAATGCATAAGAAGCCTCCAAAAGCTTTTAATAATGCTCTTATTAAAGCCTTAGCAACAACCCAACAACAGCATCAACACAGCCTTTTGAGACCTGCGTCACTCCACCACCATCTTCCACTGTGTTTGAGTTTCAGCTCTGTCATAAACATGCACAGGCAAGTGAATAACTGCAGTGTGAAAGTGACGGGCAACTTGTCGTGGAGAGTCAGGGAAAACATTTTCTTACCAGGTAAAGGAGGAACGTGTGCAGGCCGGTGCCAAGACCCACCGAGGACAGGATACCCAGGCCAACCCAGTAGGCACACCACAGCGTCTTCTTCTCCATGTAGCGCACATACTGCAGAGGCCAGAGAGAGGGACGGTCAACCACATGGCAGAGACACATGCAAAGAGTGTGAGGAAAACAAGTGGTGGGGGTGGTGGTGGTGGTGGGGGGGTTGGTGCACAGAGAGAGGAGGGGAGGGACAGACACAGAGTGAAAGAAGGTACGAGAGTGAAAGTGTGCAAAGCAGAGGGCACTTAAAAGGGTGGGAGAGGGCAAGTGAGTGGTAGAGAAAGAGAGTGAGAGGAAGAGAGTGAGAGGAAGAGAGTGAGAGAGAGACCTTTAGAGACAGAGGTTGTTGTTGAGTTTAGGACAGAGCCGTAGGGTAGGAGTGTTCAGCACACAGACAGAAGAACAGCACCATTATTCTTTTTGGTGGCAGCCAGCTCTTACACAACTAATGAAGTAAGGCAAGCCAAGATCTCTCTATCTCTCTCTATGTTCCTCTTCCTCCTGTTCATCCACCACTATCACTCCATCTTTCACTCCGTTCACACCTCCTCCCTCGAGCCAAGGCAGGTTGTTTTTAGGAGGAAGTATGGAGTGTGTAGATTACGGGAAGAAGGGAGGGGACTGACGGGTGGAGGGGATTGGGGAGTGGGCTCTGACTGAAAACTCAATTTCCCAGGAAACCCAGCAAAACAAAAATACCACATACTGCTTCTCTCTTTGATGGCAGAATGCCGGGAAGTGCAGTGCCAGCCATGGGCAATTGTTATGTGTATTTACTGAGAACTGTTTACACAATTCCCGAGTATCTGCGGATGACATAAAAAAAAAAAACGTTTTATGGCAGTTGGTTTCAAAATACTACAGCTCATAGCATTAAAATCAGAAAAAGGGAAAAGGGGAAGGGTTTCAGTCTGGTTTGCATTCACAGCTCTGGTAGTTTGCCCTGTGCACATAAGAGATTGGCAGGTAAAACTGAGCTTTGTGGGAAGTTAATAATTAAACCAACGTGATGTGGGCACACTCACACAAGCACACACTTGTTCAAAATGATCTTCATTTATGTATCCTCATAGGCATTGTGTTTCTACAGTACAAATCCCAATCTCTGTGTCGATGACTATGATCAGACTTAATAAACACACATCACTATGTGGGACCAAAATAAATAGTAAATGGACAGAATTAAATATAACTTTTCAAGCTTAGTAGGAGAAAGCATTGGCGCATGTTGAGTGTCATGTTAAGGAACATATCAAACAGTGGACAGGTGGAGCCAGGGACCAAACCACCTACCCTCTGATCAATAGACACTCACTCTACCCCCTGAACCATACCCCAAATAACCGTCAGCCCAAATATACAATATGTATTACATTTAGCGTTATGGTTAAAAAGTAGGAAACTAACCTGCACTCTGTGAATATAAGACAAGCAACCACCACAAACATGAAACATGTATTGAATTATATCTTTCCTTAAAAGCAAGGCTTTATGATGTATTTCAGCCTAACATGGAAGAACTGAGCTCAGGTGCTGAACCTGACAGCACCTAATGCATGGTTATAATGCATCTATCATGGTTTTAGAAAACACGAGAAAATATAAATATTTAGTTTCAGTCACCTTCTGGTGTGTTCCTTCAATACAGTAGGCAATGGAGAGGAGGATAAGCAGGATCAGCAGGCCAAACACAGTCTGTCTTTGCTGCCAGAGCCTGGGTGAAGAAGAGGAACAGAATGAGGGTGGAAAATGATAAACGCAAGTGTGAGGGGGGGTGGACGTGAATGATATTCAAGATGGGGAGAATGATGGTGAGTAGAGAGGACAAAGTGTCAGGGGTCAGATGAAAAAAGATGAGGAATCATTACAAGCATGAGTGGAGCAGTATTAGTGTAGGAAGGAAAGGATGCAATAATTTAGTGGAGAGAGGACATCATTTTCATTTAAACTTTGGTGGAGGGAGACATCTGCTGGCAACTATTCAACCAACAGGACCGGCATGTTCGCAACAGGATAATAGTCATGTGGGTAATACCCTGCATATACTGTATGTATAACCCTTTGGTACAGTACTTAACATGCTAAACCTGACCTTAAGAGTGCATTCAGCAGTTTACACAGTAGGTTGGCCATGTGTACATAAATAAATACATTAAAAACACCACTTAATCACTAATGGTTGAAAGTGGGGTATGAACACTGTGTTCAGACAGATTACATACAGATATTAAGAGATAATGTATTATATATTATTGTACCATCTCTAGTTGTGGTTGAGTACATTTACATTTACAAAGTACTGTCATTTTACTAATCTGTAACTTTGAGTTATTTGAGTTTCCATTTTCTGCCAGCGTTACTTCCACTCCACTACATTTCATAGGGAAATTCTGTACTTTTTACTTGACTACATTAATTGACTGCTACTGTTACTAGTTATTTTACAAATTAAGATTTGACATAAAAAAACATAACCTCAGAAAATACAATGCCTTCTTTAAAGTCTAAAATGTAGACTACCATAAGGTTACCATTTCTAAACTAATGTTAACAGTTACATTACGTTTTCAGTATAAACAATTAAAATGTTTAAGTATAATAATAGCTCGTGTTTTATGAATGTTTTATGACGCAGGGGGCATTTAACTTTGATACTTAAACTAGTTGCTGATAATGAGTTTGTTTTAGTTTTTAATGAACGACTTGTACTTCCTAAGTTAAGTCAGCCAGCTAACTAAGTGTGTAACTTAATAGTGTTTTGGCTAACGACTGTCCGTTAGCTACCAATAGCTACCAGCGGTCGTACGCTTGAGTCAGTCTGAATGGCGCCTTATGGTTTGTCTTACCGGTGTCCCGAGCGCCTGAACTTTATGTAAAAAGTGAGACGGACATAAATTCATGCAAAACCTCTACCTACATCCCCCGTCTCAGCCAGTCAGGTGTAGGTAGGGTTAACAGGCCTTTTCACAGTAGCCGACGTGAGATAGTAGGGTAAACACAGGTCCTGCCAATGACACTAATTAAGGTTCCGTTCCATTTAGCGCAGTAGAGACTTTCCAGGAAGCCAACTGACTCTGTTTGACCTGAATGGAAAGCAACCTTAATTAGAATCACATGTAATTGTGATTACCCTACTATTTAATGTCAAAACGGCCTTTGTGAAGAAGGTGTAGGCCTACTGAAGGGGACATTTTGCACTGTCTTGCATAAAGTTAGGCCTGTGATGAAGGGACTCAGTTATCCCTAGGAGCTGCTGCAGGTCAGTTAGTTCACTACATATTACAACCAAAAATAAGACAGCAGACCTTGTTGATCTTTGTTTAAAACAAAGAAGGGTCAGTTGACTCAACCAAATACAATGTGAGGAGCAAAAAAAAAAAAAAGCATTTCGGTTTTTACAGTATTAAGCAACACCAGAAACATGCAGTGTGTCCATAAAAAACACTGTTTAGTGAAATGTTTCCAGTAGATTGACTGTATATTACACTGACAAACTGGTCCTTAGCTCACTCAGGAATGGGTTATGTGTTTAAGCTGGTCTCCAATGTCTCATACTTTGTGTCTCAAGGGCAGCACCAACTCTATCACACCTTCACTGACTATATGTTTTTTAAATAAAGCATTTGCAGTAATTTGACCATAATGATCTCTTACAGAAGTCTCTCATATACCCCCATACATTGATTTCGCAACCATTGTCCCCATTTACATCGTAAGCAAACAAGTGCAAAACCACAACACTGAACAGTATGTTGCCCTGAGGACTCCTTGCGCACATGCAATAAATTACAAACCACATCTATCAACATTCAGGATAAACGTCTTCGTGTGCTCGTAGAATCAACCATAATGTGTTCACATGTATTCCTCTGCAGCAGTTACAGCACCATGTGTTTTGAGTGTTGGTGAAAAGCAGCTTCGTTCAGCCAGAGCACTGCTCGTGGTGCTTGCGGCTCACCACATCCTCTTGTAGTTTAGAAAATAAACACGTTGTCCTCACACGTAACCACAAAGGCCTCCCAGTGCGTACACTGTGACCTTCTTCTGGGCCCCTCGATGTCAACAAAGATTATTAGGTGTGTAAAAGACATGTTGTGCAGTGAGGAGGAATTGCATGTAGTCTGATCTGCTGCTGTTGCTTTGTGGGTGAGGTAACATCAGTCAGTGAGGTGGAAAGACCTTGTCAGCTCTATCAGCAGTAAGGATGAGGAGTAGTGAGGGGAAAAACATAAGCAAATCCTGTACTGTGTTGCATTATAGGTTCCATTAGGCCTCTGTCTGAAGACTAAACTATTAGGGAGACGGCCTTCTGGGTTGATAGCACTGAGACAGCCAAGGTCACCTCCTGTCTGGTTTTATGTGTGTTTGTGTGTCTGTGGGGAAGAGAGTGCGGAGGGTGTGTGAAGGCTATTTTTTTTCACAACCATCATATCCTCTTTTTGCCTAAGACTGACAAGCAGCACTAGCACCTTTATAAATAAAACTAACATCTAGCTGCTGTCATCACTATAGTGTACCGGTAGTATCAATGCATAAATAACAAACAATAACAAAATAATTCTTTGTTTGCGGCTTTCTCAGTCAAACCGTCCTTAAAGTTTATAGGGTAGAAGGACCAAATGCACAGCCTATTATGTGGCTTCATCTTTGCCTTTTTACCACTTGAATGCATTATATGTATATTGAATTTCTCTAAACAGCTTGTACATCATATCATATAAGTGTTTCAGTAAAATTTGCACTGTGGCACTAAAAGTCTAAGCAGTTTTTTGTATGAACATCAGAATAGTTTCAATTCTCTAAATTTAGGTGTAAACTTTTATCGACCAAATGCATTCATTGATGATATGCAGTCAGTCAAATAGAAATAGAGGTAACAGCTCAAGTGGAGTTCTGCAGAAACAGAAAAGTCTTTTGGGGGGAGGTTGCATCCCACCCTCTGTCTCACCTCCATATCCACTCTTTAAGGGTGATGAGCAGTTCCAGAGTGAAGTACTGCAGTGTGAGTAGAGGTTTCTTCCATAACACCAGAGCTGCACGCTCATCGTTGTCCCTCTGTCTCCTCTCATCCAGAGACAGCTCTGAGCCTAAAGCCACACAGCGTGGGTATTGCAAACACACACCCACATAAGGGAGTTACACATACAAGGAAGGAACA